AGGATTTCTGTGCTTCTCCATAGAGCGCAAGAAAAATTATCCTATAAGAAAACTACATATTGTGTGATGAGAGAGCAAAGTAGATCCAGTTCCAGAAACTACTGGGGGTGCCAAAAACCGTATTCACATTTTAAGCGATGTTATCTGTTACTTTTCAAAGTTGAATTGAATTATAGTAGCAACAGGTAGTATGATTTTCACAGCACCTCTTGTAATTGAAGAAGTCAAACGTGACTTGTGTTCGTCTTTTATTTTTGATAAATATTGAGTATTACAATTTTAATACAGTTTTTCCCTTTCTTAAAATATATATATATATTTGCACCCTTTGAATTTTGAAAGGAAAACCCAAAGCAGATCTTTTTGGTCTTCTTTTCATTATTTGGTCACCCCAATCTTGGATCTGGCTCATGAATATTTGTTTTGGGGTGACTTAGTCATAGCCATGCTTTATAACTTTGGTCTGTTAGTTTTCTGGTGGAAACTAAAACAAATTCTCTTTGTTTCGTGCTGACTTGTAAAGTCTATTTCATTTTATTTTGTTGCGCTCTATTGTATTGAATTAAAAGAATTTCTATGAGCCAGAATTCGGAAGTAGCTGTTTACACTGCATTTTATGAAAATGGCACTTGAGGATTAGAAACAGAAGTGAAACCAGTTATATTTGCATTGGTAACACATACAAAATGCATTCAACTGTCCACTGTGATGTTTTAATCCTAATTTGCATTCTTACCTTTTGTAACATTCTATAAATTAGCTCCTGTTCACATTTCCTATCCCAAAACACAAAGGTAGGAACCCTTGGTTCTTGTAGAACATTCTAAAATCAGTTTGGTAGACTTTCCAATATATTATCTTCCTCTAATCCTCCCACTTTATAAAAACTAGGCAAATGTTTTTCCATTGGCTAGGCCATAAAGTATTCTAAGAAGTCATTTATGTACTTTAGGCAAGAACGGAATTTAGGCTCCTGAGAGGGCAGAGACTAGGTTCTGATCTCCAAACAGGCGACCGTGAGACCAAGGGAAGGACAGAGGTAGATGAATCAATCATTGGGGGTCTTCCCAGGGCAACTTTTAATCTTGCCATTTCTTTTGTATAAAGGAAGCTAGAAGTGCCTTCCTACCACATCCTACTTTATTCCTCCCAACCCAAGTTGAAGGGCAGCCCTTTCCCCCCAGCAACCTCCAAGGGTAATGAGCAACCTCAAGAAGCCTAAAGGCACAGCCAGCCTGAGGGGCACATGCAGGAAGGGGGTGGAGGAGGAGACTGGCCAAGTAGGTCAGTGGGTTAGAGGGCAGCATCAGCATGTCAGGGTGTGGGTAGCTCCTGGCAACTGCCAACTGCTGGCCTTCTCCTACATGCCAGGCTGACAGTAGGAATTAGAAATGGCATGTGGATTGCTATGCATACCTGCCACCATCCTGGAAACCGAGGATACAGTCACACCAAGAGCAGGAGTCTAGACATCTCTTTCCAGAGAGGACAATAGCTGAGTCTACTTTCAATGGAAGGACAGGGCCGATAGGGCATAATTTTTTATATAGGACCCTAGCAGTTCAGACTTCTAGGAAAGAATGTTTTAATTCTGTCTTGAGGGGATTCCTGAGGCTAGAAACATGGGGAGCCTCACTGAGACTGGGCAGAAACAGGCCTTGGGATAAATACCAACCAGCAAAGAACAGCAAACAGTTTAAGAACGCTAGCAAGTATTTTTAAAAGAACCTGATTAATTACACCTCCCCTAACTGGACTTACAGCATCACACAGCAAGATTCTGTGATAGGGCTCTGTGTCTGAAGGACACTCTAGTTCTCAGGCTGTTTTGTGTACTTTTTGATTCAGAATTGGTGCTTAACCGGCAGGTCTTGGAGCCTGACTCAGGCAACTCACCAAAAAGTTGCTAAATGAATGGAGGAACACGGGGAGACAGAATTATTTCATGATAATAAGCTCTTGCATGTTTATCCTAAATTATGCTTTACAAAGTACTTTGTCATACCTCCAGTTCTTGAGAAGATAGGAGAACCTTAAACCTGTTTTAAAACTGGAATATGCCCAGAATCTAAGTAGCCTTATAAAGCCAATCCTTTAAGAGATAGAAACCAGACTCCATTCATGCAGTGACTCATTAGAAATAAAAGCTGTGATTCAGTATCTTGCAGTTCCTTTATCAGTGTTTGTGAGGGAGGACTTAACCTTGGATGCCCCAAAATTTCATGTGCAGTATTTCCCATTGATAGGGAATATAACATCTCCATCAGTACCATGGCAGCAGTGCTATAGGACTCTCAAATATTTATGAAAAATAATAGATCTAAATGCACACATAATATTTTCAGGGTGCTAAATATACCACTATTAGGAAACATCTAGACAGTTGCAGTATGCTGGCTCAGCCAGAGGAATTAACCAAAGAAACACCACTTGGATTACTAACTTTGAGAAAGCATCGAGTGGTTATAGCTGATGTTCAAATTACTATCAATGATCATCAGTGGAGATAAGATTAAACAAACATATCCACCGTGTTTGCAAGTCATCAAGCCCACTCGCCTCTAGTTAACATCAACACCTGATACTGGGGCTGGGTGCAGTGACTCTCACCTATAATCGTGGCACTTTGGGGAGCTGA